GCAAGTCAAGAATAAGTTGATGGAAATCAATGCTGATGAAATGTAGACTATTTTCTTCCTTTTCCTTGACCATAAAAAATCTATAAGGTGGATCATTACCCCTTGGCAACAAAACAAAATAAAGAGGTTTAATGATATCTCAATCTGACTTTTTTTGTCAAATTATGATGGGGCTGTTCAAGAAGGGCTTCTACAGCCCTTTTTTATATTTTACATTTTGTTTGGGCTCTGTAAATTTTAAGTAAAACTTTAAGGTCATGAACCATCTTTAGAGTTGGTTCACAGTCTTGCGATCTTGTAATCAGCCTTAAAACTTTTAAATCATGTACCTGAATTTTCAAAAGACAGGGACAATTGAGCCAAAAAATGTACCTCCATTCTTTGTATTTTTTGTTCCTGGATTCTAATGATTTGTGGTCAAAAAAGAACCTTTTCTTTCCTTATTTTTTTTCTCCAGGTTTTTTTCTTTCATTAACAAAAAATCTGTACAAAACCAAAGAGAAGAAAAAGAAGCCAAAAAAAACTGTTGGGACAGTGTTTCTGACTTTACAAAGCCGTAAAATATAAAATTAGAGCATTTGCCACTTTGCAATCAGGACTTTTAAGGATTGAGCAACCCTAAAAAGACTGATTGCAACTCGGCAACCACTTGGCTCACATTTCTCTTCTTGGACTGCCCTAATGTAACTCAAAATTTTGGAAGGCTTGATTTTTAATTGGTTTACTTATACTGTGCATAGATTTACCAATTAATGATTACAATTTGTCAATTTAAAATCAACACAAACCAGATGATAAAGTCAGAATGTGCACAGAAGGATCTATCTTCAAACCTGCAGTAGGAGTCAAATGTGCAACAATAACACCAGATGAAGCAAGAGTAAAAGAATGTAAATTTAAGCAAATGTGGTTGTAAGTAAACCCAAAAACCCCCAAGTGAAAAATATTCTATAACATGTCATATACTGAGACAAAACAATACTTGAGGTACTCTGATATTGAAATTGTTAGGGGGTCAGTGACAGGGGTTAGGCTTAGGACAAGGATATCATCACCCTGTCCCAGGGGTATGTGACATTGACTTTGCTCACAATGACCATCCTTCCTTGCAAAACTTGATCCCACCACATTTAAGACTCACAAGCAGCATGGCCTCTATACCCCTTGCCTCATCCCCATCCTGTTGCTTGCTGCCTGCCGTAAAGATCTAAAGTAAAAGCCCTCTCAGATTGGCTTGCTTTATTTTAGTTGCCTTGACTATGTAATATACTTAGGCTAGCACTGTGTTACTCACACTGTAACCATTGAGCAACATTGTTTTATGATCTAGATTCTTCTAAACTGTCATCCAACCAATTGCCCCTGACATTGAAGCTTGCCTTTTTGGGAGATATTTGAGCCAAAATATCCTCCAGCATTCTTTGCAAATACATCTAAGATGAGCCCTTCTTACAAGTGCGGCGCCCGCCGCCAATTTGGCTAGTATTACTTATCTGAAGTTTTATTGTGTGTTACAGTCAAAAAACTCCTTGGTAGACTTGACAAAACTAATAAGCAACTGTTTGAGGTTGAAACTCAGCTCAACCGGATTCAGAAGAAGCGCAATTGGGATCTACTGTACTTCAAAGAGCAATGGGATAGGAAAAAGCACCTACAGCTTGAGGCCATGAGTAAAAAGCGACAGTCCTTTTTGGACGAACTTGGTGAACTTCTTGATCTTGAAGAAAGACTTGTTGAGGCACAGTGAGTACCACACTTAATCCAGACGGATAATAATTAATAAACTTTTGACAATACAATCCCATTGTATGATTCAGGGCGAGGTTTAAAGCATTGCAGCGGAAGAATAAGACTATCCGAGACCCCAAAAATAGGAAACAGATGCTTGCACTGCCAAGTACTTTGGTGCTCCTTGAGGAATCCATAGCCATGGTTATAGAAAAATTTGGCTCACCTTATTTTTGTGCAGTTAGACCAAAAGGTTAGTCTGAAATCAATATAGATTTATTTTATGCGAGTTTGTTGAAACTGACCATGTATTCCAAATTTGGCCAGATGTTCGAGCACAATGTCTAATCAAGATTATTTTGGCAAAGACCAACCTGTATAATGCTAAAGTTACAGTGATGGAGCATTGCAGGAGGTCTAGTGACAGGTCAGGTGAGTCACTTTAGGTTTCGAGACTATATGTATATATATATAACATTTCATTATACGGCCCAAATGATGTAGGTACCAGGGCGCAACAATACCTGATCAGGATACGGAAGAACAAGAATGCAGATTTGCGCAAGAAGCTCGGTACCTATTTACGTCTTGCCAATAGCTACAATGAAGAATATGATCCTAACCACCCAATAGCAACTCCTACTTTCAAGGAAGTGGAGCGGATGGAGTTTGGGGACCCCTTTCTAGATTGTGGGGACCTTACTCACCCACAAGAGCCTTGGGCCATAGATGAAGATACTAAAGAAGGTATTCAAGCTTTCCTCCTAATGAATCGATGCAAAGAGGAGCTTCGCAGGTTGAGCAAGGAGGCTAGGCAGATTGTGAGGTGGGCAGTTGAATATCAAGGCCGTGTGGACCGTTTTGAAAAAGATATTGAACAAGGAAGTGAGGTTTCTTTCTTCGAATGCTGAAGATTGCTGTTGTGTGTAGTTGATATATTGGCTTTTTTCCACTGTAGAACTTGCACCGTGGGCAACTCACATAGACATGATGTGTTCATTGCATCATGGGTGTTTGCGGCAGGCCTGTCGACTATGGCTGCACTGGGCCCCCAACATAAGGTGTCTGCTAAGTCGTACAGCTGCCCCAGAAGGATTTGTACAGAATTCAGTGGCTGATGAGACGCTGTTTCAGCAATGGCAGGAGATGATGGCTGGCTGCATCCGGCGGTGGGAAGTTCTTGTAGGCAGAACTCTAGTTGCAGTTGATGAGCCTGGTATGGCAGGTGATGGAGAGGGGGAAGGTGAGGCAGGTTTGCCTTTCATGGAAGATTCAGATGATCCTTCATCTGACGAAGATGAAGGTGCCGATGTTGTCATGTAATCATAATTTGAGGGGGTGTCACACATGTGTGAAAAATGTATGCACGCATGAGTAGTAGATATGCCACGCATGAGTGTCATGAGTGATAGCTAGTTGTTACACATGTGTGATACGTGTATGCACGCATGAGTACTAGATGAGTCACGCATGAGTGTCATGAGTGATAGCTAGTTGTTACACATGTGTGATACATGTATGCACGCATGAGTACTAGATGTGTCACATATGTGTGTCTTGAGTGATAGCTAGGTGTTACACATGTGTGATACATCTAGTACGCATGTGTGGTACATGTATCACACATGAGTACTAGTGGTAGGACACATCAGTATCTTGAGTCATAGCCATGTGTTACTCATGTGTGCTACATCTAGTACGCATGTGTGATACATGTAGCACGCATGTGTGATACATGTAGCACGCATGTGTGATACATGTAGCACGCATGGGGACTAGATGTAGCACGCATGAGTAACACTTGTGTGATACAGCTACTACGCATGTGTGATACATCCAGTACTCATGAGTGTGTTGCATGCGTGAACATGATTTTTGTGTAAAAAACAAGGATAGGGAACTCATAGCACATTGAAATAATTTTAGTGTGTTTCTTGGCAAATTAAATTACATTACAAAACAAAAACAAAAAGAAAGAAAATTTAACCAATGAATTTTGGAAAACAGAAGTAAAATTGGCTATCATTGCGTGAAGTCCACAGTATCACTAGGTAGGTCAACATTCCGTAAGTTGCCATCCTCATGTGAAGGGAGATCAGTCTCATCATCTTGAACATCTTCTGCTAAGTTAAGATCAGGTGGTGATTCATTCTGTACTTTTACTATCTTATAATTTCCAGCCAATATGTCTTCACTCCACATCTTGTAAGTGGCAAGTGTCATCTTCTCAAAAGGTTTCTCCAGTATCTGATCCGTCATCTTGCTCTGCAATGTGCGCTGAACCATAAGATTTACGCCACCTGAGAATGTTCTTGCTGCAATGGTGAGATGTGAATTCGCAGTTTTTGGGTGGCAATCGCGGAGTCCAAAAGGAGGCTGTAAGTGTTGAGCTAGGGGATAAGGAATCTATTGTCAATCATATAGAAATTTGGAGTTCAGAGGTGGACCCGTACTTACTAACAAGCTGATTGAGGGATGAGGTCAAGCGCATCTTAATAAGGTCACTTGGTTGTGGGATCTTTGCTATAGCTCGAGGTTTCTCAGCCTTGATAGTCTCACGCACAAAAATTTTGAGGAGGTGCTTTTTTCCGGAGATGTGAAGCCAATCATCACAAGAGGAGATTTCATTTTTGTAATGTGCCTTGTCATTACGGGTACGAGGATTCCAAGAGCAAGCCATAAGGTGGTACTGAACTCCATACCGTATGTTGAGTATTTGTAACTGCACAAAGGCCAAAAATGAATTGTGTGACGGTATTAATGTGACTGCAAAGGAAAGGGCGCACCTCATTATCAATTTTATCAAGCTCCTTGATCCCTTTGTTCTGGTTGGTGGTAGGAAGATCAGGTCCGAATTTTCCCTGTCCCAGATCCTTGGCTACCTTTCCCAGATTAACATTCTCCTTGAAGATGGGTAAGTAGCGCTGGATTTCTTCATCTGTCAGCTTTACTGAGCCGTCGTGCTGAGCTGGAATTGAGGGTCCACATGCCATAGCACCAAGGATGTAGAAGACTTCTTTATTGTATATGTCCTTTTGGTGAGGTTAGAGATTGGTCCAAAAAGAACCTAGGTGCTGGTTGCGGTCACCAAATCCCTCACTTTGATTGCGTGCAGGCACTTGAGAAACATGAAATTTTATTAGTTTTGATTTTGGCGTAGTATGAGAATGACAGCTTACTCTCTGTGATTGTTGTGCTCTCAATACTGTACTTCAGAAAGGTTTGGTAGATAGTCCTTTTTGTACGCACACTTGCTTCATGCCTAAAAAGAATTATACTTGATTGGTGCTATTCAAATAACGCAATGAATTGATGTAATTGAAGGGGTGACTTACAAAAATTCATTCACAGTTTTCTCGCTACAATGGGCCATCAGTTCAAACAGTTTCTTTGTTCTTCGGTATTGCATCTGGACATTTTTGAGCTCAGTTTGCATGTCGGGTGGGAGACGGTTAGATGTTTTGTGGTCTTTATCTGCAAGTAGTTCATCAATGGCTGCTTCGTCAAGGTCGCATTGCGTGTAGTTCTGTAGGGTGACACGATGAGGATCATCTTTCGATGTGTTCGTGGGTTTGTCAAATTTCGTGGGTTTAACTGGTGCAGGACTTTTCTTGTTGACAGGTTTTTTGACTTTTGTGATTGGTATTTTGGGTTCATCAAATTCAGAGTCGGGGTCAGAGTCAGATGGCTCAGTTTCTTCTTCATCCTCTTCTTGAGAGCTATCTTCCTCGGAATCTGAGTCTGGTGAATCTGGGGAATTGTGTTTTTGTTCACTTTGACGTAGACGCTTAGACAAACGGAGCAAGGCCTGGTCAGATCGCTCAGCAGGTGCTTCAGGTGATTTTTCCCGTCGACGTGGCCGTTTAGATGTTTGGACAGAGGTCTTATGGTCGTCTTCTTCCTCATTCGGTGATGGTTTGACATCGTCAAGGGCCTTTTCGCTAGCGGTCAAGCTTGGTCGCCTCCTGTTGGTACGTGGTACTCCGCCTCGACCTCTACCTCGATTAGGTCGCGTAGGAGGAGCTGCAGGTGCAGGTGAGGTGTTCCGTGGGGGTGGCCGTCTAGAAGACAGAGTGTTCTTGTCTGTTTGCTTCGTGGAGCCATCGGCAGGTTTGTTGGATCGACGAGGAGGCATTGGTGAGTTTGTTTTTAGATTGTGGTAACTACTTTGTCGATGTATGTAATTTGAGTTCTTGAGATCTTGAGATGATGGGTGATGATGTGTTTTGATTCTCCGAGTGAGTGGTGATACAATATGAGGGTATTAGGTTAGTAAACCTAATACCCTACATATACACAACATGTCTGAATATGTGTGTGTTTCCGCATATGTATGCTGCGTGATATTTATGTGTGATATGCGTGAGGACAGGGCGTAAGGACCTGAGTGGTAGTGAGTGATCCCACTGTTGTGGGTATGAAGTGTAGTTACATGGTGGTCTCATAAGGTGCGTGGTGATGCGTGATGCATGTGTGTTTGCATGAGTGACCTGCGTGAGTGACCTGCGTGAGGTGAGTACAAGTTACGTATCTCTGTTCTACAAGTGTAGTTTGATAGGGTTTGTGCAGCCACTGCTTGATTCATGTGGGAGTCCATGAGTGAAATTCGTGGGTTGGGTATGAAAATATCACATATGTTTGCCTTATGAGTGTACGGGTGTTTGATAAGCTGCGTGGAGATACTGTGTGATTGATGTGAATTGCCGTGAATGAGATGCGTGAGGTGAGTATGAAATATGTGTCTCGTGAGTGATTGAGTAACATGTGTGACATGAATGGGTGGCCTGAGGGTGATGATTGTGTGACTGTGTGACCCAGCTGCGTGGAGGTTGGGACTTTTGTTTTTTACTGTTTCTGTATGTACATATGTCACACGAAGCTTAAGAGAGCCTGGGGGGCTCTCATGAGATGTTGATGATGGGTTAGTTGAGTCTTTGAGTGATTAGATTATGCGTGACGAGGGACTTGTGATGTCTCTGAGGTGACCTCAGAGGCATCTGAGCCATCTGAAACACATCTGCTGCCATTGTAGGGAGCCGCTCCAAGGATAAAGTACTCGTTTTCCTCGGTACCGCTCCGAGTTTCTATGGTTTACGAGGTGTACTAGAAGTCCACCATGATGAGCAGGGGGATGATGATGCTGATGAAGATGCTGATGATGCTCTCAATATTGACCAAGACGAAGATATGCAATCCAATTGAACTTCGCTTCACACCTTTGCCCAGCCCAGAGGTACATCTGTTGTGCGGTTGGTGATTGTGAACGAGGAATGTGAATTGAAGGAAGGTTCACAAACGTCACAAACGTCACAATTGATGTCTTTCAAACTTAAACTGTTGAACTTGTACAAATTGAGAAGCCTGATTGTGAACTTTGTGACTTTGTGAAGTTGTGGGTTCACACCTCTTCATCACTTGTGAAGTCTTGTAAATTTGGTAAAAATTCTGACGCTTGATTGTGAGCATTGTGAACATTGTGAACAATGTGAAGTGCGGGTTTCACACAGTCACAATTAATTGTGAACTTTTTGTGAACTTTTGACTGTAGATCTTGATCAAATTGTGATTGTGAGCTTTGTGAAGTTGTGAAGTAAAAATTGTGAACGCTTCACGCAGTTCACAATGAATTGTGAATTGTTTGTGGATGTTGGTCTAGTTGTGGTTGTGAACTTTGTGAAGTTGTGAAGTTGGATGTGAAGTTCACCTGTGAGGTAAACTTTGTCACAAAATTTTCTAGCTTGGTTGTGAACTTTGTTTAAATTGTGAAGCAGGGGTGTGAACATTGTGAAGCTGCAGGTTCACACAGATCACAATCAAGCGTGGTCTCTTATTTGTGAAATGGTGATGCATGATTGTGAAGTTTGTGATGAACTTTGTCACTGACTGTGAACTATGAAAAGTACAAAAGTACACTTGTGAAGCTTGTAGTGGAAGCTTTGTGAAGTCCTTGTGACTTTCTCTACTTATATTTTGGTAATTAGAGCACGGTTCACAAAATTCACAAATAATTTTGTGAACTTGGTAAGGTAAATGTTGGGGTGAAGTTGCACATGTTTGTTTCATCATGTTGCACCTGTAATGAGCTTTGTGAAGCAGAAGATTTGTGTCTCCTTGAGATTTGATGCCAATCTTGTAAGACTCATTTTTGCTCACATTGGAGGGGACTCAATCATCATTGAATTTCACTCTAGAAAAGCAGACAATACAATACAAGAGCGGCAGAGATAGCAAGGAAATTGCTATCTCTGCCGCAAGTCACAGAGAGCAATTTTTGAACAAAAGTGAAAAATTTTCAGGAATGTCTCGTCTTTGATGATTGAGTCAGCTAGCTGAGTGTTATGCTTCAGTGATTCCTAAGGATAAGGATTGAGTCATGATGGCACCTTCTTCTGTTTCAACAGGTTCATCATCAAGCGCCGCTTCTGCCGCCGTAAGACCTGAAGCCGCTGGTTTGACAACCCTTCTGACCTTACTTTCTAATGACTGCGTGGTGATTGAATGTTTGCCATCTTCAATAGGTTCATCATCAAGCGCTGCTTCTGCCGCCGTAAGTCCTGAAGCCGCTGCTCGGACAACCGTGTAATGTCCAGCCTGAATATCGGCCAACCATAGCTTATGAGTTGAAAGCGTCATCTTCTGCAACTTGGTTGATAGGATAAGATCAGTCATTTGACTCTGTGGTGCTCGTACCACGCGAAGCTTGATGCCACCTTTGAATACCCTATTCTCAAGTGCAACGTGGGGGTTTGCGGTCTTGGGGTGGCAGTCCAGGTGGGATAAGGGTGGTTGAAGGTATTTTTCTGTGATGATACCTTGTTAGTAATACTCCTTTGTGATGATGTAGTTAAGTTGAGTGAAAATAAACGTACCAACTTGCGAGTTCAATGCAGCAATGAGCTGTCCTTTTATCTCATTGCTAGGCTGGACCTTCTTGGCTTTTTTGGGACGGATGTCTGAGTCAGACTGTGTGACCTGGCGCACAAATTTTTCAAGGAGGTGCCAGGTGCCATTACTGAGTACAATCCAGTCATTGCATGATGAACTCTTGTGACTCCACTGCGCCTTGCGGTTTTTGGTGTCCGGTGACCACGAGGAAGCCATAAGGGAGTAATCCATGCCATAGCGTATTTTCAGAATCTGGAGCTGGTGGGAGGACATACTGTCAGCTGAAGTTTGTATGTGAATAGTACAAGTACAAGTCGTACCTCGTGATCAATCCTTTGGACCTCGGTGATTCCCTTATTTTGGCGAGCTGTGGGTAGGTGAGGCCCAAATTTTGTTGGCCCAGATCTTTTGCTACTTTGTCATTATTAACTAGGCGTCTATATATCGGTAGGTACTTTTCAATATCTTCGGCTGTTAGGGGTTCAGATTGTGGTTCAGCTGGTGGTAATTCCCACCCGCATGACAAATATCCAAGTGGAAAGAAAATTCGATCATGAAAGATGTCTTTCTTGTCGTTGTCGTATGAGGACCATGTGTTGCCAAGGTGACTGTTTTGCTCTTTGAATCCATTTGTCTCATTCCTTGCTGGCACTATCAGGAGGTGGAGCTTGGAGGGTTAGTACATGTGTGGCAGATGAGGCTTGTTGGGAAAAAAACCAACTTTGAGCACTTGAGCTTTTTTTGCTATACTTTAAATAACATCGGTAGAATGTGTGCTTGGTTCGCACGCTCACTTCGTGCCTGGTGATTGTAAGGGATAAACGTCGGTGGAACCAAACGGTACATTACAGACGGGGGGAGTCACTAACAGAAATTTGTTGATTGTCCGTTCACTGCAGTGTGCAGCTAGGGCCAAAAGCTTCTTGGCTCGGTGATAAAGGAATTGAAGGTTCCTCAGTTCTTTTTGAATGTTGGATGCAATTCGGTTCCGTGTCTTACAAGCTCTGTCATGAAGGAGTGCATCGATAGTAGCGACATCTAAGTCACAGTCTTGATAATTTTCAAGAGTGATTTTGATGTGAGGCTTCGGCTTCTTGTTTTGTTTTCTTGGTTGGGTTGGATTGAGGTGTAGGAGTGTGAGGAACACCTGATTGGGGAATGGTGGTATCAGGTGCGTGTTCCTGGGCCTCGTCGTCGTTCTCCCATTCACCTTCATTTGCGTTGGCTTCGGATGACTCATCAGATGAAGAGTCCGATTGACCCTTGGAGCTTTGAATCCTGGCCTTCTTCCTTGGAATCGTAGCCTTCTTGCCTGGAGCCTTCTTGCGGGTCTGGCGAGGCTTTGATGAGGTAGTGGCGGGTGCTGAGCTGCGTGTGTTTCGTGCTGATTTTGGACCACTAGGACGATTTGAAGGCGAGTTTCCACCTTTGCGAGGGCGAGGCATGATTTTGGTATGAGATTAGGTTGGCGCAGAGTTGAAGAAGTGGGATCGAAGTCGTTTGCTGTATGTAGAGTGTTGGAAGGGAGGAAGGTGTGTGAGTGTGAAGTTGTGAGTCGACTTCATAAGATTGAGGATTGTTGGGTAGGGATGATTATGTAGCTCTATGCTTGCGATTATACAGGTATAGATTTTGTGAAGTTGTGAGGTTGTGTGGATGGATGTGTGAAGTTGTGATCCTGAGTATATCAATCTGAATTTGGATACCGAGTCCAGGCCATTGTGAGCTTGTGATTCGATTGTGAGCAGTTTGTGAGCGTGAAGTTGTGGGGAAACTTATAGTAGTTGAGTGACCCCAGATGCATGGAATGCATCTGAGTTACATCTGGCAGTGATAACAGAGAGACTTGGATGATACAGCCTTCTCTATCTTCGGGTCAGGGCCGAAGTTTTAGTGTATACGAGGTGTTACATAAGGCAAGACTTATACCCCGAACTGAACCCAATCCATCACCCATCACGAAATGTCGCCGCCGGCGTTCTGACAATCGACGGTTTCAAGGTCTTGGTGGCAAGTGTTTACAATCCACACAAGACGCTTGACGGATTCCTCGCATCCGACGAAATCCTGAGAACAATGTCCCTCAAAACACAACTTCTCCCCATCATCTGCACAGCTGACTCCAACCTCCACTCCCCGCTGTGGAATCCCGATCACAGCAAGACCATTGACAAAGAAGCGGACCACCTCATCGAGCTGATGATGGAATGGGGCCTCACTTTACGATCCCCAAAAGGCCAGCCCACCTTCGGCCTGCACTGTGACAACACGCTTGGGACCTCGATTGACCTGGTCTGGGTCAATGAGGACCTTGACGACGCCATTGTCGCGTGCTTCATTGACAACAATGATGTGCTGAACCACCAGTCAGACCACCAAGCACTGGTGACATGCTTCTCGACAGCTACATCTCCATCCTTACCGCCGCAGTCCAGCACCAAACGACTGAAGAACTGGCGTAAGGTAGAGCCAATTTTGCTCAAAACTGAACTTATGACCACTCTCCCACAGCTCCAGCCTCTCCTTACGCGCGACGCTGTAGAACTCCTACGCAGTGTAGCGTAGGCTGAGCCGGAGAGGGGAAGAATCACCACTCGTGAGAGCGGATGAAACTACAGGCGCTGTGAAGCTGCCCTCGTCCTTCAAAAATGATTTCAAAATTTGAGATGAGGCGTCTCTACTCTCACTTCTTTGTCTTTTTAAGGTTTCCCAAAACCTAATTTACACCACACGGTTGGATGCGCAGCACAGAGCGGAGTCTAACACTATTACACACAACTTTTCACAAGTTCGTAGTATAGAGATATGTAAACTCAAGTTTGTTGATTTTTGCAAGGTTGTAACACAATTGTACAGGACTGGAATGAATTCCAGAGCCCGACTCGACCCGGCCTCGACTTGTATCAAGAGGCGGGTTTATTGAATTGATGTTTTAAAACTTCGACTTCTTGACGACTGGATTGTAACCAACTCAGCATCCACCAATCTTCAAAAGAAACTCTACCGGTCTACAACAATAACAACCCTTTTAACTAATTCAAGGACAATAAAAGGTAACTTCACTTCCTTCTTTTCTACACAATATCTCAATTTGACTTTTAATAATAAAAAGTAATAAGTATCCTTTACAATAACAACACGCTAACACTTTATTTTATAGGTCTTTCAATTACACAAATATACTAGCACGACTTGGACACTTAGCGCGATTTCTCTTCGACTGTTCAGATCAACAAAGAAAGAAGACAACACACTTTGATTTGAATCTAATTGATTCGTACACACAACCAGACTCGCACACAAATCGGACACAAAAAATTCGATACACAATTATCGGATGCCTAAAATTGGATGCCCCCCCTTCTCTTTTCCCTTTTGAGCAACCCCCTCTTATACCTTTCACTCACCTGATTTCAGCTCATTACGCGTCCTCAGTCTTCAACCTTAACGTGTTCTTCCGACCGATCAGTCTCAAACTTGTTTTATCGCTTATGCAATATGTAAGTGTTTTTCTTTCTTTCTCTTATCTGTTCTCTTATATCGCTCATCATTTCAAACTCATTTCTCTTTTCTTATCCTCTATCCCCTTCTAGTTTTACTCTCCATCTTCGATCCCAGCCTCTTTCAACTGCAGCCTTCAAACTTTCACCTCAAGCCTCTCGTCTCACTTGCAATCTGACTGTCCTACCCTATTTTCGATCTCAAGTTATGATCTTGCATGCCAAGAGGTGAGTCTTAACTTGATCTCTTCAGATATGTGACTATAATCCATTCGATTCTAACCTCTTTCTAACTTCCTCTTTCAAACTTTCTTATTGATCCTTTATCTCTGATTTTTAGACTATCACCACCTTTTCGATTATTAGGCTTCTTTTGATACTTTCAACTTATTGTTCTGTATGTTCCCTAAGACTCAGTCTTCTATCATCATCCTACTCTACTCTATTTCGATCTCGAGATGCAGTTTTGATCTAGTTGTAACTTTAAACCTGAAAGGTGACTTTTCTATTACCCCTTTCTCGGACTCGAATCTGTTCGATCCCCTTTTTTCAAATTTGCTGTCTTGTCTGTTACTTCAACCCCCAATTCTCGTTCCGTGTTATATCTCGTTATCATGCTTTAACTTTATCAAATAAGATCATTAATGTTAAAGGGAAACCGCGTTCGCCGGCAAAACCCAATTAAACTCCCAATCAGTACTCCAAAATTGAAGGTTTACACGCTCACCGGATTTAACCTGATTTCCACGCGACTCACCCCCAATTTGTTCCCCATTCCTCTCATCAACTTAATTTGTCACCAACCTACCACCCTATCCTCCCACTTTCCACATGTACCTGCCAGAATCCAAGTATGTATCAACACTTTTTACACCATTTCAAAAACAAACAAACCAAGTCCATCATCAATACATTCAAAAACAAATCATTCAAACTTTCAACGGAACAAATCATCAACTTCAAGCTCCAATGACCTTTATTCGATATCATCCAACTTGACCGATTATCAAATCCAAACTCAAATTGAACTTGATACACTTCATGAACAAGTTAAGTTATTTCAATCCCACTCTGATATTGATGGAAATAATTATTGATTTGATGTTTTTCCAGCTTCAATTCTACCTGGTACCACACCACCTATCTGAACTGAAATCAGATCCAACTAAATCAGTTAGATGGCGTAGACCTGTACTTGTACTTATGAATGTTCAATCAGGTTTAGATCAAGTCAATATCAGTCCATCATATTGCAAAACCATTGAGGTAAGTCAATCTGAAACTTTACGACACACAACTTTCCTCGACTCTAATCCTGCTTTAAATGTCAGGCTACGTTCACATTCCCACAATCAGTAGGAATAGCAGGAGGAAGACCATCACAATCGCTCTTTCTGTGGATTTCAATCTGATTCATTATTTTACATCGATCCACTTTGTCCAAGACGAGCGATTCCATTAGAAGAACAACCAGGCTAATTATTAAAAGCAGCAAAATTGATACCATCAATGAGTGATTTAAATAATTGATCGGTCCAATCGATCGATTAGAAGTTAGACATGATGTGGATTGGGAACAAGTTCTGAGTCCGCTTCACGAACAATTCACTGATTGGATCATAACTACAGTTTACAAGATCTCGATCGGTTCGGATCAGTTTAATAGATTCAAGTGAACAATCCGTCCAGAACCTGAAAACGAAAACAACACAACCCGAGAAAGTCATTTTAGATCAGAGGTTCTATAAATCAACTTCAAGACCCTACATCAATACCATCAACCAACACATTGACCACCCCAATTGAATGGTTAAACCAGCTCCAGCCCTTAAACCATGATATCATTCAGTATCATTAGATAATCAAACCCAAGCCAAAGGTATTCTCAGAAATACAAAAAAAAAGATGATTGTCATGACAGAAAGATTGAATGTGTTATAAATGATTTGGTGGAGCTTATCAAACAATATAGAGTTTTTAAATTGATTGACTTTGAATATAAATCAAACGTAAATGATAATAATATATTAGAATCAATTCAAAAAGTTAATTGATTCAATCTAAATCATAATCATAATCAAAATCATTTCAAGGTACTCACTCAAAAACACTTTCTCAAGTTTTTTTGGGTAGCAAATCAAAATACTTATTTTGAAGTTGTTCTTTGTCTAAAGTCATGTAATTTCAGCCTTTGAAGAACAAATTCAATGGCCATAACCAGTAAGATATCCCATAAATCCAACTCATCCAAAATTGACTTGAATCTTCAAAAGCATTTCAAACAATTTGTCAATTTTAAAGCAGGTCATTTGATCTTTCTTCCCTCTTTCTCGAATATACTCAATGACTAACATTCATTTTATTTTTGTCTGTGTATGTATAGATTTGGACATGAAATGATGAATTTTTCATATAAAAAAGATTGATTTGAATTATGGAATGGTTTTGTTTCCATTACCTAATTTGAATGCAAGCAATGCTAAGTCTATTGGACTTAGGTTTAGGTATCATTTTGATAGTTGAAGATCTACAAGTTGATTAGACAAGGTAAATATCAATGTTTTCACTTGGTTTATGTTTTATTCATTTAACTCTTTGGTTTTTTGGAATAGTCTCAATGGTATTGATCATATACTTCATTGACTAGAAGAATATGAAAGTTTTATAAAAAGATACCTCCAAAGCCTAATGAATACAAATGGATATGATCAGTCAGATGCAATGGTCAGTTCATCACCAAACCCACAACAAAAAATAAACGGAAGGAAAGAATTGCAGTTTTTTCTCTTAGACTGAATTTTCAACTTTGTTATTGTAATGATTGAAAGAAATTAAAACAAATTATATCACAAGTATTAGAAATTAAGCCAATTTTAGCACATACAATTTGTAGGTCTATTGAATACAATATATTTATCAAAGAAAAAGTAGTTCAACCTATTTTTCAATTTTCACCTGATCCTCCTAAAAATGGAAATTAGATTGGTACTCGTGGTGGTTTTAGGAAATGAAACTTGGTCTGAGATTTGATTTGAAGCAGAAAAAATGTAAATTTTTTTGAACAATTTTTTCTTTTTGTTAAGGGATTGGTATCAGATCTATAACTTTAAATGGAGGTTCAAATTTAAAACTTGATGTTGAGCATGGTTAGATCAATACAATTATGGGATACAAAGTTAAATCTGGGATTTTTTCCCAGTTTCCCAGTTTTTGTTTTTGGCTGTGTTTGGAACTTTCCCATGGTGTCCCAGCTTCCCAGTTTGCATTTTTGGCTGTATTTGGGAAACTGGGAAACTAGGAAAAAACGCCCAGATCTAACTTTGTATCCCATAAATGAAAGAAAATTTAAAAATTTGTGAAGTCGATTCAAACAGATTATTTGATGCTATTGAACTTTTGTCTTTAGAAAATAGTTTAATAATCAAGGTGAGAAGAAAGGTATATTATTAAAGTTTGTGAAGTTCATTTTGATGAAGAATAAAACAAAGAATATAAAATTGTGAGAAACAAGTTGGGGATTGACAAGAATGAGTTGAGAAAAGATGAAGTTTGTGCTGTTTTGAGAAGAAGACCTGAGTGTTGGAGATGACACGATTTTTTTCTATGTATGATTGTTGGTTTTCTTGCAAAGTTTGAAAGATTTTATTGGGTTTCTCTTTGGGTTTGTTATTAGATGGGCTTCATACATATTATATACCTGAGTTGAGGAAGAAGAAGAAGAAAATGTATCAAACAAAAGAAACATAGATAAATCAAGTCTTAAATGTATTGTTGGTGAAGTTACAAAAACAGAAGACAGACTCCATGGTTATTGTTGATTGTGAATGTAACATTCTTTAACCCAATTGACCTGTACACATTATTGAGTTTCTTCACAAGGATATGATTTCAGGTTTGGGGTTTGTAGTAATCTGTTTTAAGTGTCTTTTGTTTTGTCTGTCAAAATTCTTGAGCTTATTTGTGAGCTCTGATTATTGAATGGGGTGTTTAGTATGGCATATATAAGAAGTTGAATGTGCAATGTGTGCACACCTGGGAATGTTTAAAAGCTTGCATGGAAAGACTGCAGAGTGATTGGTTGATGCCATAAATGCTCACAAGTAAATGTTGCCAAATTGCTGCATGAATGAAATTTGATTCAATGATGCGGCGCCTGCCGCACAGTTGTGCTAGTATCTCCTAAAAAATGAAATGAACATGATTAAGATTTTGGTACTCTTTGTTGCCTATCAACCTGACTCGAGCTTGAAATCTGCTCTCAGTGAGTAAGACTTTGAGCCTCTCAATCCCTTCTTCGTGTATATAAAGGTGAGGGTGATGGTGGGTTCTGATCACCACAACGCGATAGAGGCCTTCGACGAGTCCCTTTGGCAGTCAGTCACGGATGCCCTCAACAAACACTCGCCACACAAATCCTCCAACATGAAGCACAAGGCTTGGTGGCGTCCAGAGATCCTTGAGCCACTACGGAAAGCCACGGCAAAGGCACATCGCGACCTGAAAAAGAACCCTTTGACGGAACTCCGCACGTCTTACGCCAAAGCGCGTAACGCTTTCAACAGAGCCATTGACCAGGCTAAGGAGAACTCCTGGCGAAGGTTCCTCTCAGAGGTCGACCACCAGAACCTCTTCCAAGCCAAGAGGATCGCCTCCGGCCGGAAGCCATCTTCTCTAGTCAGCACCATCATTACACCGGATGGCCTAACATGCACTTCAAACACCGAAAAAGCCAAGGCACTCTTAGCTGCCACCTGTGTGGCGACGGCGCCATGCAACTTGGACGACACCGAACATCTTGAGTTCCCTCTGAAGTCATCTCATAGAGCGTCAGCTGAAATCACACCCCCCTTTCTCCAGTTCATCACTAACGAGTCAGTGGGCGCGGTCATCAATGACAGCCCACCAACGAAAGCTCCAGGCCCAGACAAGATCCAGAACTGGGTCTGGAGGATGGTGTGGGATGTAGTCAAGTCCCACATCTGCTTCCTCTTCCAGTGTGTCACCATCACGGGAATCATACCTCGGGGATGGAAACGTGCGACAACAATTATGATACCGAAGCCCGGCAAATCAGACTACACACAAGCAAACTCATACCAACCAATTGCACTTCTTACGACCCTCGGGAAATTCTACGAGAAGTTGCTGACAATACACCTTTCAGCCCAGGCTGAACAACTGAATCTTTTGCACCAGGGTCACTATGGAGGCAGACCTGATAGGTTGAGCCAAGAGGCCTTGGTTCACCTTACATTGTGGATTCGGGGCGAGTGGGCAAAGGGTAAGGTAGTTGGTGCACTCTTCGCAGATGTGAAATCTGCCTTCCCATCGGTCCACCATCCCCGTCTTCTTCACACTCTCGAGAGGATGGGGATCCACACACAAACCCTCGACATAATTCATGACTTCCTATCCTCTAGGACGACAACCCTCAATTTCAACGGTTTCGAATCCTGCAATTTTGCTCTTGACCATGGCCTTCCACAAGGCTCTCCCCTATCCCCCCTCCTCTATCTCCTCTACAATTCCTCGTTTTTAGGCATCACTGACAGTATACCAACAGCATCAGCACTAGGTTTTGTAGACGATGTCGTACTTCTATCCTCGGTTCTGGACACCCACCAACTACGTTCGCAGATGCAGACACTTTTGTTCAGACAGCAACAGTGGGCAAAACGCCACGGCGCCATCTTCGACACCAAAAAGACTTTTTGGGTTCTTTTCACCCAACAAAACCTGGACCTCGACAATGCCCCAACAATCGACTTCGCCAATTGGAAAGGCCTGAAACCAGCTCCCACAGCTAAGTGGCTAGGGATAAAAATTGATAAGTCCCTCACTTTTGCTCAGCACAGACTCGACGTAATAGCCAAGGGCAAACAACGGGCAGGATTCCTGGCAGGCCTCTCGAAACAGGGCTGGGGAATCCCGCCAAAACTACTCAAGATACTTTTGACAACAACGGTCCATGCTGCCATCGACTACGGCGCAATGGCATGGACACCAACAGAGCCGCCAAAGTATTTCATCGAACAGCTGACGGTTATTGACAACATCTGCGCGCGCAGCGCTAGGTGCAATACGGACGACACCGGCAGTGTTCCTTCGACACGACTTCAACCTCACCCCACCGAAGATTAGACATCAGAGTAAGATTCTGAGTTTCATGGCTTGTTTGCTGACAAAAACACAGAAGCACCCCCTCTTCACGATCATCCAACAAGCCCAGCTATCGATTCCCAAAAGCCACAAAAATCCCTTCCATCATTTCTTCCAGCACCCCCTCTACCAACAATTTGAGGAGCATGCAGTCCAACTCCCGGTTGACCCAGCATCGTCTTTAATCAGACCGCCAAACTACTCAACGGTATTGCAAGAAGACGAAAGACTTGCCATCAAGGACATGCTTCGCCTCACACCGTCGCCCCAACATCTTGTCATCTACACGGACGGCTACAGGATACCCACCAAGAACACGGCCGCGGCGGCCTGGTGTGCAAACACCAGACGAAGTGCAGGTGTGCAACTAGGCCGAGCTCGTACACAGGGGATCTACCAAGCTGAGTACCAAGGTGTTCAACTTGGTCTCAATCTTGTATCAGAAACCGCTACACCACACACTCACCGTGCATCCATCATCCTCGACAACCAGGGTGTTGTCAAGGATCTCAAGTCCAACTCGTCTTCTGTGTCGTCTTTAGACAACCGACACGCTACTTACAAACAACTCCAGTGCATTTTTCAAAGCTACCCACAACTTCGAATTACGATCCGCTGGTGCCCTGGCCACAAGGGCATCCCAGGCAACGAGACGGTCAACAAGATCACCAATGGCCTTGCGAAGAAAGACCTCCCGAGCACCTTCACAAACACACCAAACACTGCTGCGTTTCTCTCTGCAATCAAAGAATGGAGAACGACCCAGACAGAGACCTTCACCAAAGTGGAGATCAAACGGCTAGGCCACAAACCCAATAGTCGGCATCACCTCGATGGTATTGGTGTCCTCAAGAAGCACGAAGTGGCTACTTTGACTCAGCTACGTTCAGGCCACATTCCCCTGAACTCATACCTCCACCGTTTTGCACAAGTGCCTGATCCTACCTGCAGATGCCAGGAGGGTCTAGAAACCGTTGACCACTTTCTCTTCATCTGCCAGCTCCACGCACAGGCCAGAGTCGCTTTTGAGCGCGACGTTGAGCAGCAGGGTTTCAATGAACAACGAACACTCAGGATGAACAAGACACTCCTCTCAACACCCTCCGCTTTCAAGGCCACCATCAAGTATTGCAACAAGACTTGGCGATTTGCCAACAGATGGACATGGGCGAGAATCACTGAAGAAACCCGCCCTGCCAACATCTCTGAACCCCAGGATTGATCCTCTCCCCATACTTCACCGCCTCTCTCATGATTCCCCGCTCTCATACATGTATACTTAGATGAAACAGCCAACAGCTACCTTTCCCCTGACACAGCCAGAGGGGTTTTACCGGTGCTGGACATATTACATAGTGTTTGATTGCCTAGCGGCTCAAAAAACACTTAAAACAATGCAATAAAAAAAAAGGGATTGTTATTTCGTTATTGGTTACGAACGTGAGCAATCCAACGTTTGTGGATCGAGCAACAAGGGCAGAAGGGCAAACAGCGGCAGATGTGGTCATTTCTCATGCGGCGGCTCAGCGGCGACTATGCGGAGTGTGGCGTAGGCCTGTAAGGCAACTTACAGTGATCACGAAGGTGTCGTCTGACATGTGGATCTGGGGCCACACGTCTGAGTCTGCAGGCGACTTCTTGGCCCGACCCGAATTCGGCTGCATGAGACCATTTCCGGGCACAGGAGCCTCCGGTGGTGTAGAACCACCGGATATCGACCGGATCTCACCTTGACCGAGCCCTCTTCTGTAGCACACGTAATCTCTACCGCAAAGAGATGAGCCAAACTGATTCCTTAAACTATTCCATCTTGAAAGATGAAGAGCTTACAACTGGGTTTGTGTCGAAATCAGAACACTCTCAATCTGAACAGAACAACTCCTCGGAATCTGAGGAGAGGGATCTGGAATACGAGTTCTGATCCAAACACTCAAAATATCTTCGCTGCTGCGACTCCAACAAATTCAAAATCAGCACTTTCGATCATCAGGGTTGATGGGCCTCAGGCAGCCGGACTTTATCATCAGATGACTAGTACTATAAGCCCCAAAAAACATTCAAACGCACCTCTACATCAATCGAAATTACCACCTCGTACGGCTAAACTGCGGAGAATTGTCGATCCATCAACAAAAGAGACATTAGACCCCGAGGCAATAGTGATCAACTTTCCTCATCAATCAACTTCGACAACTTCAACTTTTGAATTTCATCTTCATGGATCACCAGCAATCACTAAATCTGTCATACTTTCACTTTCTCGGCTATCTAACTTTAGACTTGCTCAACCTGGCGAATTCACTCAACGTCGATATGAGCGTAGCATGATTCGAGATCAACCCGAATTCGATTTAAATCAGTTATTAGCACTCAAGAACTTAATTGACGCTGAGACTGACGAGCAAAGAAAGTTGGCAATCCACCAGTTCGATGTATGTGATATTGACTGCAATTCCTTCCCTCAACAGTCGCAACTTTTCATCAACATGAACCCTTACCTTGCAACTATAATCAGCCTGATCTGATTCATCTCCCATCCGATCGCCACAGGGACCATTCAAACAAGTCTACCAATCTATGCGCAAAACTTTATTGGAGTCTATGGCTTTATGTGAAGCTATTATAGATTTTAGTGAAGATGGGTCAATAGACGATGAATCAGTATGGAAACAAGGTATAGTGATAAGGACAAAAAATTATAATGTGTTTTTTCATCTAATTTCTCTTTTCTTCACACCAGTTTCGCACAAAGTTCAAAGCTTAAGATCAATTATTCGATCTCATCTCAACGATTCAAATCGACATGAAAAGGTTTTGAACGGCATTCGCCTGACGCTTTTTGGAGCTCCAAATGTTGGCAAAAGCACTTTATTGAATTGGTTAGGTTCGAGATTTATCCTCCCTGTTTCCTTCACCTCAAATCCTCAACTACGGCACACTATCCTAGCTGACAAGAACATACTGCAACTGTAGTCAACAGAGAAGCTTCAATTGTATCTCCTCATCCTGGTACAACACGGGATGTGATAGAAATTTCTTTAGATTTTCGTGAGATACTCCCAATCTCTTCCATCTGAAATAGCAACCGCTCACTTTGAAATTTTAGATGGTTTTCCAATCATCGTATCGGACACTGCTGGTCTGAGAGATACTCAAGATCCTATCGAAGAGATTGGAATCGATCGAGCTAAATCAAAGTAAGCAACATCACCAATTATCAGATAAAAATTAGAAACCTATCTGATTACGCGGTGAATTCATAGTATCTCAAAAGCAGACCTAAGATTCTACCTGATTCCTGCACCTGTCTTTATCAACTCCTCGCACGAAACCAACCTTGAGTCAATCCGAACTTTCTTACAAACAGCTTGCACGCCTTCCTTGATCCTTGTCACCAAAACCGATTTAGTTGAATCAAATCTACTCAGTAAATCTATCAAGAATCATTCAACTCAATTTCCCGACATCCCAATTTGTCCAATCAGTGTAAAAACCTCATCAGGGTCTTCCCCATTTCTTGATCATCTGAAAACCTTACTCGAAACCAAGTGCGTACCAAACTGACAAGATCTTCAACTTCTGTCATTCTGTACCTCGAGTGACTGATCTTCATCGTTTTTCGTATGAGTTTTTTAGCTACGGACTGGGCAGGAGTAATCGTTCAAATCCAATCCTCACATCGACTATCCAGAGAACTAATCTCCAAAAGGTCCTAGATCATCTGGATCGTTTCTTGAAATCTCGAGAGGACGAAGATGGAGAGCAAGATTTAGTAATTGCAACCGAAGAATTACGAGAAGCCGCTTGGATTATAGGAAGATTGATGGGCGATGGAAAAGATGAAGTAGAAGTTGAAGAAGTTCTAGGAGAAATGTACGTGTGCTTCCTTTCTCTCCTGTCTTTTTGTTATTCAGTTTTTCTGACTAGATCGATATGGTGAACTTACAAATCTCGTTGGGTAACATTTTACTTCTTCTCATTACTCATATCACTTGGGTCATCTTCTTGGTAATAGATTTCGCGGATTCTGTATTGGGAAATGATCTGTTCAAATCGATATTGTAGTATGCATCACAGCTTACCTGAAAGAGCCACTGACCTTGTTCAACTTACATAGATATCTCGAACCATTCATGGTCAATACTAACTATGGGCCCGATCCTGAACTCCAAAGAGTGAACACGCAGGGATGAATTATCCAGTACCTGGTAGTGAATCGGATGAATCATGAGTCATAGCGCTTCAAAGTTGAAAAGGTAAGTGAAACTGTATCTTTGTGCCACATAGTGGATCATGTGTTGTGCATACTTTGAAAGAGGCTGAATCCAAACTATACCTCTCAAGAGGCCTGATGAGGTGACTTAAGTTACTGTAAATCTGATTCAGTCAACTTCAAATGGTTTCTACTATTTCTTACTTGAGGGCAGAATCCAAGTAGACCAAAAGTATGATCTTGGTCTGCATTAGACACAGTGCTTGTGGGGGAGTCCACCAATATTGTGGGCCTATCAATCTCTTTCAAGTGTTGCAAAAACTGTCCAGATTCTCTCCAGATTAAAAGAAGACTGAGCTTACCCACCCTTATTGATTCCCAGCAGACATACTTGGGTGTTGGCCTGAGGAAAACTAGTGGCTAGTGTCAAAGCCTTTGGAATTTCAGCACTGTTTTTCAAATCCAATGTTCTTGCTCAAATTCCAACATTTGGAGCATTTGAGAACAGATTCATGATGCTTGACCCAGTTGCTTTCTATACATAGCTTTGTTTCAAATCCAATGGCAGGTTCATGAATCTGTTCTCAAATGCTCAAAATGTTGACATTTGAGCAAAAACATTGATTTATTAAAAAAACACAAACAGAAACACCTGTGATTGGATTTGGAAAGAAAGCTATGCATAGCAAGTGACTGGGTCAAGCAAGGACCCTGGAATGCCCCTATAAGGGGTACTGATCTGGAAAGGTCTGTTTGGAACTGCCGTGGAGTTAAACTCTATGGGATTATACAAAGCTCACTTGATTCTGCCCATTCCTGCTCTCCAATATTGCTGGTTTCGGCCATCCCTGTCAACCTTTGACAGGTGCTTGTCTGTGCGTGTAAATTCCAACATGAAAGCTGAAACTTGAAGTAGCTGGAAATGCAAAACTGTGTAAAATGCCAAGATGGGCCACAATTTGGAAGGCAGAATCCATTGAGCAAGAGATGGTCAATAGCCAATCAGAAGAGAACTACCAAGACTTACCAGGGCTGTTTGACATGAATTCATGTTATGGGATGTTCTTAGTTTTTGAACATATTTAGTTTTTCAATGTTCTTCTTGATAAACACATTCTATCAGTTTGATCAAACAATGTCAACACCTGCAAATGACCCCTCTACTGTCTTGAAATCATCAATCCTGAACACTGCCAAAGATAGATTATTGGCCCAGAGAGCTACCAATAAAGATGCAAAATGGAGCAAGGTTTGAAAACGGACAGCAGTCAAATCTGCCCAATGTGTGTCTTCACAAAGGACAGACCAGATCAATGTCTACAATGTCACTGTGGACACTTGGTCCAGATGAGCTGAGGCAAGATTCATTACGCCAAAGCTCATTAGGACTCAAGTGGGTGATTTGTTGCTGAATCTAAATAATGTATTTTGCTTCATCAATAGTTCAATGGTGTACCAACAGATGCCAACCTATTCAATTACCCTTCAATAGAAACTTGTAAAGAGACAACAGAAAGACTTTTCCAAGCTCAAGATTTACCCCAAAGTCTCAACGCTTCATTGATTTTGGTTGTAAGAATCAAAGCAAGATTGTTTGTGGAAGTTAAAAAAGACAAATCAAAATATTGATTCCTTTGAGATCTTGTTGTTTTTGAATTCTGTGTAATTTCATTATGTCTAGGGCCGCCAGGTTGCAACCTGGCAGCCCCATTTGACTGTCAACTTGGGTACTCAGGTATCTACTAAAGCCACATTTGGGTCAACCTGGCAGGTGTAGGCTTTGCAAGTGTCTACTTGCGCAGGCGGAGGTTGATGATGTCTGCCTCACAGGTTGTTTGAGAGCCTGGGCTGTTTGGTTTTCACATAGTTGAAGGGTTTGAATATGGTTTCCTTCAAGGTATCTTAGATCATAGGATAGGAAAACTTCCTTGGTTCACACTAGATAACCACAAATCAGCATCAGAAGTATGACAGAAGATAAGGAACATGTTAGAAAAAGTGAAAAGAGAGGGACAGAGATACGGACCTTTCTCTCACAAACAAATAATACAGTACTTCCCTTTCTTCAGGTCAAGCCAAATGGGTAGTACCATCAAGGGTGACGGAACATTCCAAGTAATTCACAATTTATTAAACCCTAGGCAAAAGAAAAGAATCTCATCAGTAAATTCCTTTGTGATCAAAAAGCATTTCAAAACAACTCCACTGCCTAGGTGATTGCTTTAGGCCGTAAATTGATCTGGTGACTTCACATACCCAATCCGGGTGAGAAGGATCTTCATAGCCTGGAGGCTGAGACGTGTAAACAGGTTCATCGAGGAACCCGTTGAGGAATGTCGTCTTGATGTCAACCTGACGACCAGACCATCGTTTTGTGGCCATTAATGATAGAGCAAGGCGAAGAGTTTCTAATCGAGTCGTAGGTGCGAAAACCTCGGTGTAATCAACTCCTTCAACCTGAGCATATCCCATAGCAACCAGACGAGCCTTCAGTTTCAGAATAGTATTGCCAACTTGCCTTTTAACCTTGAAAACCCATTTTGACTTGATAATGTTACGCTTGGCAGGTTGAGGTACCAGTTTCCAGGTCCCCATTCCTATGAGAGACAAGAACTCCTCATCAGCTGCCTTCAACCATTTATCTTTATTTGGTGAACGTAAGAGCTGTTTCCATGTTTTTGGCGTGTCGGAAACATCTTCTCCGGCCAGTGACGCAGAATTCACGAAATTACCCAGTCGATTAGGAGGGGCACGATTCCTTGTTGAACGATGTGGAGGGGGAGGATCAGGAGGAGGAGATGGTGAGCGAGGAGGCTGAGGTTGTGTAGGTTGGGACGGAGGTGTTTGGGGCTGGGTACTGATTTCTGACTCCATAACTATAGGATCAAGCCGCAGAGTTGCCAAGGACGGAGGCGTCCGAGTGGGCAACGGTTGTACACAAGGAACTTTTGACCAAGAAGGATTCCTTCGAGGGGGTGTAGAAGGGCGTCTAGAGGGGATTAGACTAGTAGGAGGAGAGGGTCTAGTTGGAGCTGGAGGAACACTTGAAGATGTTACCTCAGGGTGTTTGGGAGATGAAAGGGGAGATGTCGTTGTAGGAAGATTTTTGGGCACAGGAGAAGGGACAGGAGGCGAAGGTGATACATCCTTGAACATAGAGGGGGAAATTGGACGCCTAGCCGGATTTTAGATTGAAGTCGACAGACGTCAATGCCTTTGAGATGGCCGAGGGGGTTCCTGCACCGGCCAAGGGATTTCTACATCCCTCGTAGGTGTAGGTCGAGGTTTCTTCTCATGTGACAGAAAAATACTATTGTCGAAAACAACATCTTGAGTTTTAACAATTTTGTTTGTCTTTAAATCTAACACTGTGTAGCCATTACCATCTGTGAGGTAGGAGAGAAAAACTGCACAAGAACCCTTGGGATCAAGTTTGCGTTGATCAGCTTCAGGGATTTTAAAGTAGACTTCACATCCAAATGGATGGCAGCGAGAGGGAATAACAGGAGGAATAGAGACAAGAGAACAAGGTGAGACAAAACCCGCAGGGGTATAGCACGGAATGGAATTGAGAGAGTGGGCCAGGTAACACAAAGCGTCAACCCAGTAAGACTTGGGTAACCCAGAGCTCGAAAGAGAACATCTAATGTGATTACTGATGGTCCGGTTGGTTCTTTCCGATACACCATTCAGCTGAGGCGGATGTGGCGGACCAGGGTCATGAGCAATCCCAGATTGTGAGAGGTAGGACTTAAACTCATTAGAGATGTATTCTCCTCCATTATCTGTTCTAAACTTTTTGATGGTAGTGGAAAGTTGAAGCTCAAACTTGGCGCGAAAAACTTTGAAGCAAGAAAAAGTATCACTCTTTAATTTCATGGGATACATTATAGTGAACTTTGAGTAGCCATCAATGAAGGTTACAAAATATCTGAATCCTTCCCGTGAAGCTACCTCAAAACTGCAGACATCAGAGTGAATAAGTTGT